CCGAAGACAGGAAAGCAGGTTCTTTACCGCTGCAATGCTGTGGAGTTACGTCCTGCAATTTCATACAGGTGCACAGGTAGTTCAATACAAAATGGAAAAGTCTCTGGACATTAGTCCTTCTCTTGTTCTACTCGTTGATTGCCAGGTGACCCTCTCTGACATCCAAGCTGGAAAGATAGACAGGTTACCCACTGCTTAAATAATCACTCTTCATGGTAGTGTACAATATTCAAAAGACGTGGTGATTATTACAACAGTCAACCTAGAGCAAGACTGAAAGGACTAAGTTTATTATTGGTCAAAAGTGAAGCTTTCAACCTATAAATCCACTAGAATACAAGGCAGGCATGTACTTACAGTAGAGTTGGGAGCTGTGAGTCTAGTGATTTACTGTTTAACCAGAGCCCCACACGTCACCTTTCGGGGGGGGGGAGAAGAGGGAGGGGACGGGATAGCGGGAGCTAGACTGACCCTACCTTAACAAGTAGCCGGCAGACAAACTATCAATTTCAGGGAGGGGGAGAAAAGGCGGGAAAAACGGGAGCTAGACTGACCCTACCTTAACAAGTAGCCGGCAGTGAAACTATCAATTTCAGGGAGGGGGAGAAAAGGCGGGAAAAACGGGAGCTAGACTGACCCTACCTTAACAAGTAGCCGGCAGACAAACTATCAATTTCAGGGAGGGGGAGAAAAGGCGGGAAAAACGGGAGATTGACTTACCCTACCTTAACTAGAAGCCGGCAGTGAAACTACGGATACTATATATATTCCCTCTACACCTATCTATTGAACTTTTCCCTCACAGCTTATTTCCTCTATTTTGTTTATTACAATATACAGTACACTACTGTACAGTATAAACATTTAAAATATACCAGAAATGTTATAAATGGTGCAAAGGTGACATTAAAACAATATCCAAGATTGTTGACACACCTACTACCATTATAGTATGCTTCTCACTTAGCAACGAATTTGTTTACCGACGTGGTCTTGGGAATGGAACTCTGTCATTAAGTAAGGAGAGGCTGTAGTATCTAGTTTTTAGGTGCTTTTATTTTTCCTGATCCTCTTCAAGGGGGGGCTCCTTGGCATGGTGAAGAGGCTCTTGGTCTGAGGAATTAGACCTGTCGGTCTCCTTCCTCAGACTGAACCTAATTACCCCCCAATCCCCCCTTCCCTATCCCATCCTCCCCATCCTCCTCCTCCTCCCCACCCCTCCCTTTTGCACTTCCTTTTTGGCCTTTGGGATTTTTTCCCAAAGGCACGCTAGTTCCTAGGTAGGGGAAAGGGTACCGGGGTCCATCCCATTCCGTTGAGGTTCTTGGCGGTGGCGTAGTTTGCCGTGGAATCTGGATCGCCTGGGGATGTCCCGATCCCTCTCCGGTATCCCGGAGGGTGGCTTTGGGTGTCTTTCGGGCGACGGGTGTATCTCTGGAAGCCACCTTTTGGATTCCGGGGGTGGTGGCCGAAGGAGGTATGCTTTGTGGCGGATATCCGGCCGCCCTCTCTTTTGTCCACTGAGGTAGCTTGGCAGATGTGAGGTTGCTATCCCGGATTGCTGGTTTACTGGCATGATGGGTAGGGTATGGCACAGGTTCCATGCTGCATCTGCGCTACTTGTGGTGCTGAGGTCCTCTTGGGCGTGGAGGGAGATTTCTGGCCCTTTCATTCCTCCTAGGAACTATCCCTCCCCGGTCCCCCCCTTTTTTTATTCTTTTTTTTTTTATTTTTATTTTCTTTTTTTTTTTCTTAAAAACAAAAAGAAAGAAGTAACCTAACCATGGAGTACCCGATCCATGACCCTGCTACCCCCGGGCCCCTTATTGTTACCGCACCCCGTTCTGACCTCGCCTCGTCTTTTGGCCACTCTTCGGACATTCCTAAGGCCCCTGTACCTCTTGCTGGTGCTGTTTCATCACCCGCTTCAGGTGCCGAGGTTTCGACTGTCTCCTTCGATTTGTCTGACCTCCGCTCTCCTTTGACTATGCTTCCGGCTTCTCCCTCTACGGTGCGGTAATTTTCGAATCGCTAGCCCGTCCCACATCGGACCGACTCTGGTCCCACTTCTAAATGTCAACGACAATCTCCTGATGTTACTTCGTTACCTTCCCATTCTACTCGGAAAAGACCGACACGTCATGCACTCCCTCTCCACACCCAGTTTCGGACCACACAATGGACTAAATTCTTTACATTTACATTTAAACCAACTTCTTCTACTGCCTATCTTTCCAACCATAGTATTGGCAAAGCACTCCTATGCTATGTTGGTAGAGATATTTACTTTCATGCTCTTAAGAATGGTACACACATCATCACAGTCCAGAATTCTACCCAAGCTCATGATCTTTCTCTTCTTTCACATATAGATACTTTTCCCCTATCACTATCGAAAAACATCATTCCCTCAATTCTTGTAGTGGTACTGTTTTTCTGTGCCCCATACCATAGTCCAACAGAATTTCCAGACAGTGGCACTGACATTCTCGAACAGCTGGAACTCCAAGATCTCCCAATTCTCAGGTAGACTCTTATGTTCTTCCTGCCCACGGGCAAAGACGATACCCTTGCAATGTGGCTCTTTTAATTTTTTGACGCCGTGAGCTCCATCCTCTGTTTATGTAGCAGACATCGGTTACAAGTTCGGAAGGTGACCCCTACACCGCAACAGTGTAGGAATTGCTGGAAATTTTGGGCCACCCAGCAAAATATTGCAGATCTATAGCCGAATGCCCAGTCTGTGGGGCCAGTGACCAATTCTAATAAGTCTTGCAGTCGAACTCCCTCTTGCCTTAATTGTCATGAGGCTCACCCTTCGTTCTCTTGCCGTTGCCAGGTCTACCCAAATGAGTGGGGAAATTCGTTGCCTCCAAGAGGGAGAAGGGGCCCTTATGCTATGGCGGTTTCTCATCTCCGCCTCCAAGGGAGACTGCCCCGTGGGTTTCTTATTTTCGTGTTCAAAGCGTCCCCCCCCCTTCTGGGGTCACATCTTCTGCAGCCTCCTCTGTGGTTGCCAGTCCCATAGCCACTCCTGTATCTAATTCTTTTGCTGTCCTGGGCTCAGACGTCCCTACTTCAACTCCTCAGTCTGTCCTCACTTCTTTGTGTTCTCCCTCACAAACCCCGTATCGACAAGACCTCGTACGACACCTCCTCCCAATCGTCCCTCTACTTCTCAGTGGTCCAAAAATTCTCCTTTAACCCCTCCTTCCCTTCATCCACCTCCACATTTTACCTTCCCGGTCTCTGTACTTGGGTCTTCCCCTTTCACTGGCTCTGTTACAAGTATGGAGGTTCATCCTCCTCCTCGTACTGTGCCTTCCTCCCCTGTCCCCTCCCAAGTTTCTTCCTCTTCTGCCACCTCCCAGGTTTCTGCCTCTTCTGTCCCCTCCCACATTTCTCCAATTCCCTCCACCCTTTCGCCCCCCCTACCTTGGTACAGTCCATTACAGCTCCGATCTTTACTCAAACTCCTCCTCCTTCCATCTCCAATATTGTCTCCCATACGATGTCTCTGAACTCCGAAACACTTGAGGCAATCTCTGAATATATTGCAGAGACCAAACCATCAATGGACACTGATCCACCCTCTGTTCCTTCTCTTTCCTCTTCTCCATCTGTGCAACTCCTTTCTTCACAACGCACCGTTCCTTCGCTACTTGAACGTTTTCCTTTGCCACCGCATGTGGACTTTTCTAGCCCCTCTAGTCCGTAGGTTCCCTTACCTGCGGATTTCAGGTATCTTTATCATTGCCAATCATGGCCTATTTACAGTGGAATATTCGCGGCCTCAGGGGTAATCGTGGTGAGCTTCAGATGTTGCTCTCCCAGTTTTTCCCTGTTGGTGTTTGCTTACAGGAACCAAAATTACACTCTGCCATTATCTATCCCATCTCAGGCTATAATTTATTGTATTCTTCAGATCCTTTTCCTGATGGGACCTTTAATGAAAGTGCCCTTCTTCTATGCACTGATATTCCGTACCATCAGCTATTTGTTCGTACTTCACTGCATTACACAGCAGCCCGTATCCACTTGCATAGGTGGTATACACTCTGTTCTTTGTATCTCTTTGTATGCCATTCTTGCAGCACTTATCTGTATTGCATCTATGCCGGTGTCATCATTTGTGGTTGTCTCAGACTCCCTTAGTGCTTTACAGGCTATACAGAAATTTGATACACCTCACCCCTTAGTCCTCCGTATCCAACTTTGGCTATGCCGCATCTCTACCAAGCATAAAGATATTGTTTTTTGTTGGGTCCCTGGTCATGTTGACGTACAGGGCAATGAACAGGCAGACACTACTGCCCGGTCAGCAGTACATGACCTACCAGTTTCATATAGAGGTGTTCCATTTATGGACTATTTTGCTGCAAATAGCTACCCACCTTCACACCCGTTGGCAACAACGTTGGTCTACTCTACTTGGTAACAAACTTCAATCTATTAAACCGAGTATAGGTTACTGGCCGTCTTCTTGTCACCAGTGCTGAGGTTGGGAGACTACTCTCTCCCATCTTCGCATTGGCCATACTCGTCTTACTCATGGATATCTCATGGAGAGGCGCCCTGCTCCTCTCTGTGAGAATTGTCAGGTTTCATTATCGGTCAGCCACATTCTGTTAGACTGCCCACTTTATCAACGAGCACACAGAATTTACCTCCAACGTCGTCTTCACTCCGCTGCCCTCTCTTTACCTTCCCTTCTCACTGATGGACCCACCTTTCATCCGGACTCTCTCATTGACTTTTTGACAACAACTGACTTACTTCACAAACTCTGATGATACCTTCAGCCCTTTCTACCTCAACCTCTTGCTACCCTCTACCCCTGCACTATCCCCTGCCCCGCTGTTTTCTGTAACCTACTGATCACCCCTCCCCTCTTCTGCCGCCCAATACCCTCACTTCCTTCCCTACACTGCAGCGCTGTATAGCTCTTGTGGCTTAGCGCTTCTTTTTTATTATAATAATAATATTTTTCCTGAGGGCAGATTTTTTGGGGATGAGAGATCATGGTTTTCATCAGTGCCTTGGGCTCCAGTGGCCAGGGCTTCACACACCATTGATACTTGCTGATGCTGCCTTCATGTGCTTGCCACCCACAAAAACGGATGTACTCTCTCGTCAGGAACCTCAGCCCGCCCCTGGAGCTATGACCCACTTGTGAGCAACAGTCTTTTTTGGTGAATGGATGTAAGAGGGAAGATTCATTACTGGCCCTACCAAATCACTCTGCTAGTTATGTGCTGCTCCAATTGAAGGCTGTAAAGAAAAGACATACTTTGCAGAACAAGCATTTATTGGGACAACTTTTCAAACTGTTAAGATCTTAATCAAGGTTCAGTGCTGGCCCCTAAAAAGTGTCAAAAATAGAAAAATTATACAAAGTAAATATAATAAAAATAAGAAAATGTCACTTTCTTCAGACATTTTAAAGTTGTGCTCCTCAAAATATTTTAGAGTATTCTACAGTATTTGTAGGAACGAAAAAAGAAGACAGGAAGACATTTCTATTCAAGATTAATTTTAATTACTGTATCTTGATATACAGGCCTAGCTAGAGGGCAAGGGTTATTGGGGAAGTGGAGATACCCTACCTAATCACACACTAATCAGACTTTTCAGTTACCTCAATGGGCTCCAACTCATTATACTGTGGAGGTATAAATCTACTTCATTTTGGATTTTTTTCTTTATAGATACACTGGTACTTAATATTTAGTACAGTATGTCACATTTTCTCCTATCATTCTACAGTTTCATTGACTAACATGCATAACCTGTGTTGTCTATGAATTAATTGTCAGAGGCCGGTGAAATATAGTGTGAGCTTGCTGCTGTTGCTTCTATCGCCTGCTGTTGTAACTGCTATCACCTGCTTTTGTACTGTCGCTAAACTCAAGTGTGCTGACCACTTGTTTTTCTGCAATATGCCTGTTATTTGTTTAAGCATATCCACAGGCTTGCATAAGCATGCCTCTTGTTCTGTCACTGATCACACTCTTGGCACCACATAAAACATTAGGAACTGATAAAACACTGCAATAACAGTCAGAGTTAATTAATGAAGATCATTCAGTTCATTTGCTAACAACTCTTTAATCTCGCAACACAGGACTACTTTGGCCTCAGCACCCTTCAAGGGAATTTGTCTTAATGCCAATGAAGAACTCTTGATTCATGAAGTCTAGCTACTCTTCCCTTCCTCACATCAATCCTGATTGCCTTCCATTTTCCAGGCACTGTATAATCCTCATGAGTTTATCACTTCTCCATCAATGGAATACTAATGATAATAAGATGCACAAATGCATAGTGGGAGGAGCACGTTTCGTGTCTTCCCCCAGGTCACCAATAACGAGGCCTCTATTGGTCAGAGATCAGACCATGATTAGCAGATAGAGGATTGAACCTCCACCACTCCTTGTGCTAAATGACCCACTAGAGATTAGCACTTCATGAAATACCATACAATACTGATAATGAGACATGCACACAATGTTGTTGCCAAGAGTGAGAATGCAACATTCAGAGAGTTGCTACAAGTTGCTGGCTGACCCCTCGTAATTTTTATGCATAATGTATTTTGATATATAATGCTTTGGAGTTAATTATTCTATCTATAAAAAAAAAGAGGATAAGTAATTATAGAATATTTCCAGGTTTGTGCAGCAAGATGGAGAATATCCAGCTAAAGAACTTTATAAAGAGTTGCTGTATGATAGTAAGGGAGAAGGAAGGATTTATAACCTATGAGATAAAAACTAAAGATGTTCACAGAGATGAAGACCATAAGATACAAGTGATGACCATTGGACCTGAGAATGAGGAGCCCATCAAGTCAGTTCTCCTGCTGGGGCAGACAGGTGCTGGGAAGACTTGTGTCATCAATGCCATGATCAATTTTCTTTTTGGTGTAGACTTTGATGATAATTTTAGGTTTCAGTTGAAAGATCAAGTTTACAGAGATAACCTCCTTCAGGTAGAGAGTCAGACAGAATATATTACTGCCTATATTGTTTACCATCAAGCAGGAATGGCTCAAGAGTGTAATTATATGTTGATCGATACACCTGGCTTTGGCAACACGAGAGAAAATGAAGAGAAAGTTCTGATGGAGAGAGTGGCCCATTTCCTGAAAAATGACTATGGTATAAATGATCTTAACTGTATTGCTCTAGTAACTAAGGCAAATGAAAACAGGATATCAGTAAACCTGTTAAATATACTAGAAGATTTTACCTCTGTTTTTGAGAGCAATATTGGTGATATAACACAACTTCTGGCAACATTTGCTTCAGATGATACCTCAGTAATTGAAGATATAATGAATCATGCCAAAGTACAGTTTGTCAATTTGTACCAACTTGACAACTATCCTCTGTATGCCTCACATTGTGATAATGCCTCTCAAAGAGATAGACATGTGTATCTTCAGTGTAGATGGGATCGGATGCAAGCTGAGTATTCCAGATTTTTTAACGAGTTGCAGATTTCTACTCCAGTAAGCCTAAAAAATATGAGAGATCTTAGGCAGGAGGAAAAACTCCTTGAAGAAACAAAAACTACACTGATGCTTGTTGTGAAACACACTGCCGACCTTATCACCACAATTAATTTTCAGAAAAAGGCATTGAATAAAGTTGCAGAGGATACAAATGAAATCACATGTACAAATATTGAAGTTAATCGGATAGTAGAAAAATCTTCTTTAATTGAGGGATTTCATGCTCATAATTGTGAGATATGTTTGAAAACCTGCATAAATTTTTGTGAGGACTCGTCCAATCGTACTGCTGCATTGGCCGGAACTGGTACTGGTGTTGGTACTGCAGCATTTACAGGTGTTGGCAGTGCAGTAGGTGCTGGAGCATTGATGGGAGCAGAGGTGGGTGTTTTTGGCGGCCCAGTAGGTGTTGCAATTGGTGGAGGAATTGGAACTGTCATTGGGTTAACTGCTGGGCTTACTGTTGGACTTATGAAAAGAAAAACGAGTACAAGATGTCCCATTGGTTTTAGTGGAATCTGCAGTAACAGTGGGTGCTCTCATGATATGGCACTCCATAAGATTGAGAAAGAAAAATATGTAATTTGTGAATTACCCAAGGAAAAATTTGACCATCGTGAAAAACTTAAATATGATGACCTAATGGACCAAATGAAGGAGCTGGAAACAAAGATTGAGATGAATACAAAAAAATTACACGACCTTGAGAAGGAGCTAACCACCCAAGTCATAGCTTTAGTGAAACACACACACAAAATTAATGAACTTGGTATGAGACAAGAAGCCTTGTGCCCTAAGTCTCTCATAGATGAAATTATCCTTGATGAGAGAAAGAATTCTCAGTATGTTGAACTATTACAGATGTTGAAGAGGGCAGTGATGTTGATGTTGGACCCCCAAGGGCATGACTAGTAATTCTGAAGGTGCTGAAGCTGAGAATGTAGATTAAAAGTAAATATATCATGGCTGAAAAAATCACAATTAACCCACAAATTGGACATAAAAAATGTGTGGAAGTTTATATCCATCCTGAATCATTATTAATTCTTCAAGGGGAGGAGTCCTAATCCAAGGAATTTGAGTTACCATCCCCCTTCCTTGGATCAAACTTAATTACCTCCAATTTTCCAAATGCTGAATGACTCCTAAGGGCTCACTGTTTCCCATTATTTTAATAATGAATCATCAGGCAAGAGGGGGATTATTTCCTAGTGAAAATGAACCTTAGACAAGGATGCATAATGTCAATATGATTAAAATATTTATAGTTTGGGTTGTAAAGAAATAAATGCTAAGGTTTTGGGAAGAGATGTAGGATTAAAAGATAATACAAAGTGGGAGTTGTCACAGTTGTTCTTTGCAAATGAAATGGTTCTTTTATAATTCCAGAGAAGGGTTGCAAAGGTTGGTGGATGAATTTGGGAGAGTATATCAAAGGACATTAAAAGTGAACAAAGGAAAGAGCAAGGTAATTAGAGTAACAAAAAATCTAGGCAATGAAAGATTGGATATCAAATTGGAGAAGTGAGTACGTATGGAAGAAGTAAATGTATTCAGATATTTGGGAGAGGATTTGTTGGCAGATGGGTCTATAAAAGACAGGGTGAATCATAGACTAGATAAGGAGGGTGGAACGAAATAAAGTAGGTGGAGTGTTGATACATCTGTGGAGAACTTTATCAATGGAGGAAGGGGAATGTACCAGAGTATAGTAGTAACAACACTGTTACTTAGGGGGGGAGGCATAGGCTTTGAATGTTGCAGAAAGGAAGAAACAGAAGGCAGAGATGTAATGTTTGAGGCCAATATATGATGTGACTATGATGCAGAGAATTGTGATGTTACCAAAAGTATAAATCAAAGGGTTGGGGAGGGGTTGCCTCTCAAGGGATGTTCCTTGATGCCAGTGAGGGGATCTTGATCTAAAGCAATAGACCTGTGTTCCCCTTCCTTCGGTTGAACCTGAATGCCTCCCATTATTCCAGATGCTGAATGACCTCGATAGGTTTAGTGGTCCCCCATGAAGGTAATAATGATAATGAGGAGGGGTTGTTGATGTGGTTTGGGCATTTAGGGAGGATGGAGCAGAATAGACGACTAAGAGTGTGTATAAATCAGGGGGTAAAGGAGTTTTTGAGTGCTAGGTACTTGAGCATCCAGCAGACTTGTGTGAGCATGTCACATCAGAGGAGAGGAGACAAGTGGTTTTTATGGCTTGATGTGCTGTTGGAGTATGGGTAAGGTAACATTCGTGAAAAAATTCAGGAAAACAAATCAGCCAAATGTAAGTCCTGGAGGTGGAAAGTACAGTGCCTGCACACTGAGGGAGGAGTGGGGATGTCACAGTTTGAAGGACCATTTAAACTGTGATGTCTTCACACTTCTGGCAAAACAGCTACCTGTGTATTTAAAAAGTCATTATCTAGTCTCAACCCTTCAAGATGGGGAAGGGGTGCCATGTTCCTGGTAAAGTTCTCTTGGTTCAAGGCATTGGTGGTACCCTCTTATTTCTTTAATCCAGCCTAATTACTGTACGACTCCCATTTCTTAGGTGCTGTAATATTTTTGTGTGTTTAGCACTTCTCTATGATTATGCTAACAGTGACATTTTATGTGAAAATATTCCAGGACAGACTGAAATGTCTCTCCAATTTGATGGTTAGCTGTATATTGCAGCTGGAAATGTTGATGTCTGCATGTGATGGAGGTAGAGTGATGTCTGAGTGTGATGAAGCTGGAAGGTTAATATCGGTGTGTGATGAAAGCTGTTATACTGTACTGTACTATTGGTAGCATCTTGGAAACACATTATTGTAAGAGACAAGCTAGGTATTAGTTTGATCAAAAATGCTGTATGACCTTATTGATTTAGTGCTTCCCTGTTAATAACATATAATTTCATTTTTAAATTTTTAAACAGGCTACAGCATGGCATAAAATAACCATTATAATTTTTATTGTTGTTTTACTCTTTCAAAATTTATAATTATAATTAGCATTCTTTTAATTTCATTTTTTACAATCTCATCTGTTCTTTATTTTTGTCTCCATCCTGTCTTTCTTTACATAAACTTTGTCAGACTTGCAAGATCCCCTCAGATTTCATTTGATTCTCATAACAAGGTTTCTTGTTTCTGGCCTTCTAAACAAAATTCTCAGTGGCCCTCTCCTGTAAGGGGTGTGCGACTTGAATTCTCAGTGGCATGTTTCTTCAAGGGATGTGTGACTAAAATTCCCAAGTGCCCTGCTCCTACAAGTGTGCCTCATCAGCCTTGAGGCTGTTGAGGTGCGCTTGATCTGTGAAAATGGCCACACGCAAACCAACATATGAACCACAGCCCAGCTGGTCAGGTACTGACTGGCAAGAAATCCTGTTAATAAGACACAATATGTGGTTAATGGCATATCGAGAAGACATTTTGTCAACCAGGGATTTTAATAACTTTTGAGAATTGATAAAGCCCCTTGTGGATGAAATGTCTCAATAAAATGCCATAAACCAAGTATTGTGTCTTATTAACATACCTGTCAGTATATAATACCACTCATATAGCACTTTCTTGTGAATACTCCCCTCATTGGAGGTTCCCTTGTATATGAGGAAAAGCAGGGGCCTGAGGACACTTCCCTGTGAAATGCCAATGTCCAGAGGTCTTGTTGAAGAGGTTGTGTCCTTAATTAATAGAGACATATTGCTGTCAGTAAGGTAAGACGATATATGCAAGTACATGACCTCTGATACTGTAATGATCAAGTTTGTGATATAAAATGCTGTGGTCTACTGTATCAAAAGCTTTTCTTAGGGTGACAAAGAGTCCTAATGGATATTCATTATTTTCAAGTGCTGTGCAAAGTAGGTCTAGCATTTTTATAATTGCATCATTTGTGCTTTTGTTTTGCCTGAAGCCAAACTGCCTTTAAGTGTTCCTTCCAGCCCTTTTCTTCCCTCACCTCTGATTCCCTTTCCAACTACTAGCTGTTTATAGACCCGGCACTATTTTCTGCCCCCCAGCACTGCATGACCCTTGTCAGTTGAGTGCTTTACAGTATTTGATAATAATAATATCTGATATAGACAAAGATGTATGCCACAACACTGTGTCTCCCTTTGCGGATGACACCCGAATTTGCATGACAGTGTCATTCATCGAAGACACTGCAAATCTCCAAGTGGACATCAACCAAATATTTAAATGGGTCGCAAAAAACGACATAAAGTTCAGTGAAGACAAATTTCAATTAATCCACTATGGGGGGGTTGAGAATACTTTGTGATGTTATTAAGGACTATAATCCCTTACATATGAGCTTCTCGATTTTGGATAGCAAAGGTAAATCATCTCCAGTTGCTACACCTCACTTCTAGGCCAGTATATAAGTCTCTGGCCTGGTGTTTCTGCTTAGGCTAAGGGACTGATCACCTCAAGATTACCTCTCTACTAATGTCTCCAGTGAAATAATCATCTGTATTCGACTGAAGCTTGCTGCATAGGCTTAACGCTTTGACAAAGACACTCAAGTGCTGACACGTGTCTTAGCCATCAATTTGTCAATATTGTATACCATTTAAGTAGAATGCTTCACAGTTTCTCATTTGGTACTGTTATTCCACCATGGGCCATTCCAAGAGCAGCAGATTTGTTTTGAAACAGCGTTATTACCACTTACTTTTTTAATATGGGCGGCTGAGGTAATTTTCGAGGAGGCTGAATCCTTCTAAGTCTCTCCTTGGCACTGACACTGGCCCATCCGAGTTTTTTTTTTTTTTTTTACTTACCAATTTTCCAGCCTAAGAGCTGTTATCATACCTCAGCTCATTTCAAAGTCCTGGCCCTATCCGAAGTATACTACCACCCCTGAGGCTGCAACCCACACCAGTCAGGTAACAGGGACAGCAGATGTAAGGAAATGGCCCAGTGTTTCCATCCATACTGGGGCCCAAACCACAGACACTCAGAGTGTGAGCTGATTGAGCTACCCTCCTAGCTATGGGATACCTTAGTTCTGACCTAATGTAAAATCAGGGTAGTGTGTGATGTATTTAGTGTTTTAGTTGTCCCACTCCTCTCAAAGAAAGTGCCTTGAAAGGGGCACCTGGTCTAAGGAAGTGGATATATCTTCCCCTTCCTTGGATCGAAATTTCTTTTGTGCTGTATGATCCTTATGGGCTTAGTGCTCCCTCCCAATTATAATACCTTAATAATAATAGTCATCTAGCTCTCTGTCCTAATCGTCTGTAACAATTTTTTACCTGATTTATGTAAATGGAGATGTAGTATACACAGACTCTGTGAAAGTCTACAATGAGTGTGATCATGGTGTAATAGCACACAAAAATGTGTGATAATGGAATAACAGGAAAAGTTGGAAAATTGGATCTATTACTTCTTGACAAAATGAACATAAAGAGTAATACTAAACAAAGTAAAGTCAAAGGAAGCTACTGTGAAAAGCTGTTCCATTAGGTACATTACTCACTCCCATCCTATTCCTCATCCTCATGTCTAATATATCCGTCACCGCTGCTCTACTGCTCTTACTTTATGGTCCCTCCTTGCCGACAGCCCTGACTTTGATTTGCGCTTACTTTTTGACTTCTTGTCATCAACTGCTTTACTACACGAACTTTGACATAGTATGGCCTTTAAGTGTCCCTTCCAGCCCTTTTCTTCCCTCACCTCTGATCCCCTTTCCAACTACTAGCTGCTTATAGAACCAGCGCTATTTTCTGCCCGCCAGCGCTGCATGACCCTTGTCAGTTTAGCACTTTACAATATCTGATTATAACAATATCTGATATAGAGATGTAAGCCACAACACGGTGTCGTCCTTCATGGATGACACCCGAATTTGCATGGCAGTGTCATTCATTGAAGACACCAAATCTCCATTGGACATCAACCAAATCTTTAAATAGGTCGCAGAAAATGACATGAAGTTCAATGAAGACAAATTTCAATTACTCCACTACGGTAAACTAGAGGAAATTAAAACTATCAGAGTATAAAACAAATTCCAACCATACAATAGAGTGAAAGCTAATGAAGGACCTAGGAGTGATGATGTCAGAGGATCTCGCTTTCCAGATCACAGTGGGTTTAGTGCTTCTTTTTTGATGATAATAATAATCAAAGATCACAATGTATCTACCATATCTGCTAGGAAAATGATAGAATGGATAATGAGAACCTTCAGAACTAGAGATGCCAAGCCTGTGATGATTCTCTTCAAATTGCTTGCTCTCTCTAGGCTGAAATACTGCCTTACACTAACGGCTCCTTTCAAGGCAGGCAAAATTGCAGACCTTGAGAATGTACAGAGAATTTTCACAGCATGTATAAGTATGATAAAGCACTTAAATTACAGGGAATGGTTGAAGTCTCTTGATTTGTACTCCCTGGAACACAGGCAAGAAAGATACATGATAACATACACTTGGAAAATCATAGAGGAACTAGTCCCAAATCCACATGAAAATCACTCCCTACAAAAGCAAAAGACTTGGCAGGAGTTGTGACATCCTGTGTATATGCTAGGAGACAACAGTAAGTGACAAGGGCCCAAGACTGTTCAATAGCCTCCCAGCATACATAAGGGGGAATAACAACAGACCCCCAGCTGTCTTCAATAGGGAGCTGAACAGGCACCTAAAGTCAGTACCTGACCAGCCGGGCTGTTGCTTATACGTTGGTTTACTTGCGGCTAGCAGTAACAGCCTGGTTGATCAGGTCCTGATCCATCACAGGGCCTGGTCACAGACCAGGCCATGGGGGCGTTGACCCCCAAACCCCTCCAGGTAATGATTTTTTGAACAATTATTTTCCATTTTTTAGTTTGTTTCTATTGTATGTACTGCATACAATTGAACCACACCACAGACACTGTGCGTGTGGCCCCCCTCAAGGAAGGTTCCTTGATGTTGGTGAGGGGCTCTTGATTTAGGGAATTGGATCTGTGCTCCAGTTCCCCGAATTAAGCCTGAATGCCTTCCACATCCCCCCCCAGGCGCTGTACAATCCTCCGGGTTTAGCACTTCCCCTTGATTATAATAATAATAATGTGCGTGTGGCAAAAGCGTTGTTTACCAGGCCACGGGACACCAATATCATCAATACTCCTCCTCACAGGACTCAAAGAATGACTCTCCCACAGAGGGTCCGTCGTTTTATACATAAAGATGATTACCACCGACCCATGATATTGAGCAACCTCCCTGATGAAGAAGATTGGGTAACACCAGAACCCTTCTATGTATACTGAGAAAATCATCGCCCCCAATTTCAGCACCCATATCCAACACATAACCAAAAAAGTATCCAAAACGGTTGGGATCCTCTCCAAGATACGATACTACGTGCCGCAAAATGCCCTTCTCACACTATACCACTCACTTATTTATCCATACCTCACCTATGCTATTTGTGCTTGGGGATCAACTGCAGCAACACACCTAAAGCCAATAATAACCCAACAAAAAGCTGCAATAAGAATAATCACTAAATCCCATCCCTGGCAACACACACCCCCACTCTTCATAGATCTAAACTTACTCCCTGTTCAGTACATCCACACTTACTACTGTGCAATCTACATCTACAGGACCTTAAACTCCAATATCAACCTTGACCTAAAACACTTTCTTGATAGTTGTGACAGAACCCACAGGCATAACACCAGACACAAAATCTCTACGACATTCCCCGTGTCCGACTAAACCTTTACAAAATTCAATGTATGTCAAAGGCCCTAAAATCTGGAACACCCTACCTGAGAACTCTAGAACTGCAGACACATTCATCACCTTCAAAACTACCATTAGAAAACATCTTATCTCCCTGATAAACCCCATCAACTAACTACACGAATACCACCTGGTGGTTCACACTTACACTCACTCACCCATTTGACCATAAACAGAAATATTAATCTCAATCTTAAAATAATGAATCCTATGATA